GTCATATCTGGATTTAAAATCGTAACGTTTGCCATATTTATAACTGTCCTCATTTGTATATTTGGATTGGTCATACTTGTTATCACTGCTCTTGTGATATCTGAAGTGAGAGTCATCATGTTTGCTGTGTCTGTGTCGGTCGCTTCTCTCCTCATCCTGTTGTTTGTAGCTGTATTTGTCATCCTTCTTACTGCCTTTGTAACTCTCATCCTTCTCCTTGTTACTGTAGGACGGCCTCTCGTCCTCCTTCTTGCTGTGCTTTGCCTTGTCCTCTTTCTCCACTTCTTCAGTTTTTACTCTGATTTTTTCCTCATTGTCGTTATCATCTTTCTTCTTCTCCTTGTCCTTCTTCTCTTTTTTGTGTTTGGTCTTTTCCTCTTTGTCTTTGCTGCCCTTTTCATCATCCTCATGTTTGCGTTTCTTTCCACTTGCATCAACAGTCAGTCCGGCCTGTCGATCCAAGTTCCTCCTTTGTTCATACAGGGGATTCTCGTACATTTGTTTCTGAGTGAATCATACAGAAAGAGTTCATTATTTGCCTGACAACATTTTTTTTACTGAAAGTGAGAAACTGCATCAAAGGCGAATCTTTGACACATTTGGCACAAGGGGGCGCTAATACGAGTAAACTATCCTGTACCTTGTATTTCTCATTGTGAGTGTGCGTGGTGACGTGCTCCTCAGCACAGATAGCATCTCCATAAAACTCTCGACACAGCAGACAGAAAAATCCTCTGACTGGCAACAGGAACTCTGAACCTGCAGCAAGACACACACGCACCGCCCGTTGAACCAACAGGTGGCACTAAAACAGACTGTCAATCATGTTTACCTGATGCTGTCTCCATTTTTACAACCTGTCAGGACAGAATACTGTTAAGAGGAGAACTTTGGTAAAATTCTGAATATATGCTGTAGTGAGATTTTTTCCCCCCTGAATATATGCTGTAGTGAGATTTTTTTTTTCCCCGAGCAGCAGTTACAGGCTTGTTACTCGTCTGGCGAAGACAAAAGAGAAATAAAAATGTTGGGACGGGAGTGTCCTCTTGTTTCCATGAGTCTGCAACATTTTCATTAAGAGACAGAAACGGTGAATCCACACTGAGCTCCACCTGGAACACAGTCATTGGAGCTCAGACCATGTAATCACACTAAGAGCATTGGTATGATGATGACACATGAGGAATTGTTGCAGCAGTGACAGTTACCTTTGGCCGGTTTGGTCATTTTCTCCTCTGTCGACGGGTTCTTG